CAAGTATGAGCATGTAAGTGATGTGCACAAGTATGAGCGTGTAAGTGATGTGCACAAGTATGAGCGTGTAAGTGATGTGCACAAGTATGAGCGTGTAAGTGATGTGCACAAGTATGAGCGTGTAAGTGATGATCACAAGTATGAGCGTGTAAGTGATGTGCACAAGTATGAGCGTGTAAGTGATGTGCACAAGTACAGCACGGAGAGAAGGTTAGGCTTTCATTTAAATGAGGAACAACTCAGGGTTCGTTGATTTGTTCCTTTTAGTTTTTGTGTTTTTTTCAGTCAGTTTCTGCTCCTCAGTCTGCCACGCCCCCCTGCTCCCTGTTTCACCTGTCAGGTGTCAGATTGTGAGAAACAAATCCACTTCCTGTCTCTGATCTTGGTTTAATAATCAGAGTTTTATAATCTGGTCTGATTTTACCTGTTAAAGTTTGATCTTTTTGTGAAACCCTTGGAAAAATGTTTGCACACACCAACCCCCCCAATCAGTCATCCCTCAGCCAAAAATAGTATACGTGAGGTTTATTTCAGTAAGTGTACTTGAGTATAAGTTTAAGTATATCAAGTATACTAGACAACCATACCTGTAGTGTACTAGAAAGTATACTGATTTAATACCCGTTTGTACTAAATTGGGATTAAATTTTTTATATAAAAAGTATACCTTACGTATTCTGTTACAATGTTTTTTTTTTTCAGATAATAAATATACCAAAAAGAATTACACTTTAAGTACATGTCATAAAGTATACTAAAGTATAAACAAGTGTATTTCCCTAAGTGTACTTTTATTTACCATGTACATCCAGGCGAACAAAAATATATATACTTTAAATAAAATTCTCCTTTTTAATTTTATTGGTGCACTTTAAGTGTATTTATTTGTTTATTAGTCAATTTATATATTTATGCTTTTGTTTTTAATTATGTCAGTTTTGGTCCTCCGTACTGCAGAAGCCTGATAATCACCCTTTCATTCAAATCAGGTGTTTTTGAGCAGAGAAAAAGGTAAAACATGTAGAGCTGTGGCCCTCGAGGACCAGGATTGCCCACCCCCTGCTGTGTTCCTACGTCTAAACAATCATGACAAAGTCTAGGTGAATTCCAAGTGTTTGCCACAAAGCCACCATGTTTTGTGCTTCCAACTTTTTGAAACGCTCAGTATATTTTTGGACACTTTTTCCAAAACTGTATTTTAGCTTCTGCACATTACTTTGTTGTCCATCTCTGCCAGCTTTGTACCCACTTTTAGCAGGTGTCCTCATGTTTATCCTTTAATCTGCTGGAGTACACGTAAATAAAGAGTATGCAGATTTGAATCAGTTTTTAATAACTGTTATTTATCTGGTTTTTAGATCGGGGCATTCTGTAATAAAATTACAAATACTGAATAGGGTTTGAGACTCCCACAATTACGCTGGTAATTTAGAGAGAAAATTTTTATAATCTTTTTAACCTGTTCTAATTCAAGTGACAAGACTAAAGGTTTCTGCAACTTGTGTGACTAAACTAATAATATTTTTATTGTATTGAGATATTTTGAAGACTTCTTCTGTGGAACACTTTTCACCAACTGGTCTTCCAGTACCTGCAGTCCAGGGAGACACTGGCTTTATGTCCCCTTCATACCAGGGGCAGAGCTAGACTTTTTTGTAAGGGTGGCCAAGTCATTATTTAGGGGGTTACATACAGTATAAATAAAGAAAACTACCCTGGATTTAAAACTTAAGATGGCCGCTACAGCCAATTTCAAATGGCTCTATTTCAGCTGTTTTAAGATATAATGGGACTCATGCAAGAACCGTTCGTACGCACAGATTTGTTCTTAAGTTGTGCGTACGAGTGATTTAGGAGAATTTGTGGCATTCACCAATGTTTTCATATTCTAAGATTTTTTTCAGATACGAACAAAATTCAGGAGTGGTCCAGACCTGTCGTATATTTTACCAGCAGTCAGTCTGCTGTTATCCAGACGGGTTTTATTCATTAATAACTTTATATTTCATTAGTTTGAAGACATTTTGAGTTGAAAATAAATCACACTCCATAATTATGTTGATAATAGGCTATTCTGCTTGAATTAGAGTTATAATTTTAAATGTAATAATGTAGACTAACGACATAAATTGGTTAAATTAAAATAAATTGGCTATTAATTTTGTTGTATGGCACTACAATATTAATATGAAGTTAACTGAAGTTTTGAGACATTTTAAAATGCTTTTTGTTTTCAGAAATGCATCTGACACTTGCAATGGTTGGGGGGTGGGGGTGGTGCGGTGCGCGACTGCTCTTCTGAATAAGTGAAACCTATGTAACACAGTTGTTTACACTGAAATCAAAAATATTTGACCAAAGAAAAACCGTAGCAGGACTACAGAGAGAGAGATAAATATGATTTAGATTTTTATTTCTGTGACTGTACGACACACGGGAGACACGACCTTAACAGCAGTCGTCATTTCATTCCTCTGCTTTAAATCAGATCCTTTAATTCCACAGCTGACGCTGCAAAAAATGACTTTTTTTTTTTGGATCTCTGAGAGCAGGACTTCAATCTCTGAACTCATAAAGTTTTTCTTTTTTACTTTGCGATGTCATTTATGAATGGACACTTCATGGTATGTGGGGCAGGAAACGTAGCCTTATATGGTGTTTTTTGGGGTGGTAATTATGTAAATCACCTCTCACGTGCACGAGCAGCTGGATATGCATTCATCAGTTTACGCAGCTCAGTTACACACTTTTCCTGAAGATAGAGGAGTTTGTTGAATCTGACGTGACATGTTCGTACAAACCCTTCGTACGAACAAAAGTAAGAGAAATTTAGGATAAGAATATGAACATGTTCGTGCATGAGGCCCATTGAGCTGAAATTTTCTGTGGTATTCGCTAAGAAAGATCAAAAACATGCTGAATGTTATAATTTCAAGCTAAATGCTAATGCTAAAAATCAAAGACAGGCACCAAAGCTAATTTCTAAAATAACTCACCCAATTTTTTAGTAATAGTGAGCTGAAATTTGGCATGGTAGTAGCCAAGAGCAATCCCCATGACATTTTGAAATCTCATTTTTAAGCTAAGAGTTAATGTCAATTTGAGAAAGAAATATATTTCAGACATTTTTAGACACATGAAGCTAAAATTTGGTATATAAGCAGCCAACAATAATCTTCAACAAATTCTGAAAGGAAATCAAAAATTCAAGATGTTCTAAAACCTAGAATTATTGCACGTAATTGCTGCTTTATTGAGTGATTTAGAATTTTTTTCTTCACACACTGACAGGTTCCCTCTACAACAGATAATACAGCCGCTTGACAGGTATTTACCCTGTTTTTGCTCCAACAGGCCATCTTTTATTGCCACATGCGAACTCCACCCCGTTTGTCAACCATTTGTGGGTGGTACCTGGGGGTGGCCAATCAGGTACCAGGGGTGGGACTTGCCACCGCACTCACCCTTCTAGCTCCGCCCCTGCTTCATACACCAAATTTGTAATAACTTCTATAACATGAAGGCAGTTATTATGCTGTTGTGCTTTTAATACTAATTAAATACATTTTTCATACATTTTTCATGTAACCTGACATAGGTCTACCCTGATACTCTGTCTCAGACTACATCAGGATGAAGCTACAGTTTCTATACTTGGTCACTATGACTGTGGTGTAGCCATGAAGCCAGCCCAGTCCTTGTTCAAATTTTCAGCCATTCCAGTGCATGTGGGTCTCACATCATGGATATACCACATTCCACTGCACTGCAACCATGATGATAAACCACCACATCCTCATTACTGACATCCTTTGCTTGCCCAAAACCATCCTGAACAAATCTTAATGGTGAGCCTGCTCTAAGATCTCACCAAGACCCTGAGAAAAATGTTCTGGGTGGGGGGGTGAGTGGATCCACGGAGAGTTATAGTCTGAAATCAGACTGCAAAAACAGTTTTGTTGAATGATTTATTTATTTTTAACAATACAAACATGTTTGGTTGTTTTATGTATTTATGTATTTTTTTTTTTTTTTGTGTTTCTCAAAAGTTCAGGAATATTTGCTGAGGTCTCTGTCCCCTAGTTTCTCCACATGCAAACAAATCAACTGTCATCTTCAAGATTACATTAAAAGTTATGTCAAATATGTTTTACCTAAACATGAAACTAAGAGGTATCAGTTCACTGATTAATAATAAATATTACACTGAAATAAATTAAATCTGTCTTTTTTTTTGTGAAACATTTACAAGAAACCCAAAACTGACTCATGCTAACAACTGCTTAGAGAACCGATACTTTACAACATGAACAGAAATTAAGGGAGCATTTCAAAAGTCCTTTATTGAGCTGCGACTTACCAATGTTCTGAAAGGATTTATGTAACTCCTCATCTTTGTTTAGCTTCCACATTTCAGACACGTGTGGGCAAGCTGGCACTGTTGGCGTGGCAAGTGGTTTGTCTATCAAATGTGGGCCAGCTCTGGCAATGATGGCACTGTTTTTAAGACAGCCTGCCACATCTGGCAAATGTGTGATTTAGTTAATGTGGCTTAAATTTGTCAATTCCACAAGTGGCTCAATAGTAGTTTGGTTTATGTGGTGCTGGCCCATGCATGGACCATCTCTGGCAGACCACATCTGGGCCACCAAAAGGGCCGTCATTCTTTGTGGTGTCTGGGTCGAGTGTTAGTACATTGCGTGAGCCAGAACTGGGCCAAGCAAATTTCAAATCTGTGATACTTTTTCCAAGTCCTCCATGATCAGATCTTGCTGTCTGACATCATTTCCATCTGCCAAGCACTCTTCTTCCTGACAAGAACAATTCCCATTGCCTGCAAACACTGATCCAGCTCTGGAGATGGGTCTGCTGGGAGCTGTGGGCTGGACCGGGAGCACAGCATTCCCTCTGATCCGATGGGACAGGGTTTTCTGGCGCACCATGTCCACAGAGCACAGCTGGAATTTAAAAGCTGCTTGGAAGCCTTTCCGAAAGTTCTCATTGAAGAAGCCGTAGATGATGGGATTGATGCTGCTGTTGAAGAAGGCTAACCAGTGAGCGAAGGGGTACATGTAGATGTTAATGACACGATACTGATGCTCTGTCAAGCGGGCGTAGTCGCTCAGCATCATCAGCGTCCACAGAGGCAGCCAGGACAGGACAAAAAGCAGAGCCACTACCACCAGCATCATTATGACTTTCTTCTTCTTCCGCGTAATGGTGTGACGACTATCCATGATTTGTTTGTTGTTGCCATTTCCCTCTCTGGGTACACTTCCTCTACCCCTTGTGGGAGGAAGCGTGGTCTTAAAGAGGGTGAAACCAATGCGGGCGTACATGATGACGATAAGGCTGAGAGGAGCAAGGTAGATGTTCGCAAACAAGACCGTGGTGTAGATTTTCCGCATCTCCTGACTGGGCCAATTCTCCCGGCACCAGTAAAAGGGGCGGGTGTTGCTGTTGGGGCCAAGGACAATCCTAATGGTCTGCTCTTTTGTAACCTGAAGCATGACTCCCGAAGGGCACATAATGAACACAGCCAGGACCCAGATGATGACAATAATTAGCTTTGAAGTGGCGATCGTCAGTTTCTGCCTGAACGGGTAAACAATGCAGCGAAACCTGCCACAGAGGAGGGTCAACTTAGTACATTTAAGCAATCAGACTCTGTTTTTATTGTCCATTTCAGTGTTCAACATACAGATTTAACTCAAGATCATGTAAAAGTCCTTACCTGTCCACGGCAATTGCAACCAGAGTGAACACAGACGCTGACACAGAAATACCTTGAACCATTCCACTCAGTTTGCACACAATGCTTCCAAATGGCCATCCTGCAGAAAGGAAAATAACCTATCAGTATATCTGCACAAGAGTTTTAGAAAGAAAATGTCATGTTAAGAAAAATAATATTGCAAATGCAGCTACTGCCTAACATTGTAAAAGGATTTTGTCATAAGCTCAGGAAAAAAGTCTACATCTTGATGTATGAACTGTGTAAGAGGTGTCAAGAGAACCAGTGCAGCCTGAAAAGTAAGCATTTTATAGGCACTGTGTGAAAACTGGACCATCTACTTTTTAAAAATTCCTGATGTGTGGTGAGATGTTGAATGTTGAATTATGGTCAAAAACATTGATTTTTGGTTAAGGTTGACAATTGAAGGAGAATCAACCATCAAACAATCATCCAATTCTAACCAAAAAAGCAATGTTGAAAAGACGTTATTGGATCAATGTTGTTTCATGGTCAAATTCTAATGACTGAAATGCCAACGTCTGTTCAACGTTGAATCAACGTGTGCTGTTTGTCGCACCCTCCTCCTCCTCCTCCTCCTCCTCCCTCTTGGAGGAAAAGAAGTTGAATCAACATTTAATAGAATCAGTTATGGTTGAAAACCTAACACTGTTTCACCATGTTAGTCACCAACCACTTTTTGTTTAATTTCAACATAGATGAATATTGCTATCTAACCATATTTCAACATTGATTCACTTGTAAGAAAATTTAGTGTTCAATAACTGAAGTCGAGACGAAAACACATAAATGCTGAATAAATTGAAATGTGATAGGAATGAGAACCATACAACACCAGTGACTGGATATGAACGATGGTTTGATGCTGTCAATGCAAGCAGGAAACCCAACGCTGACAAGAAGCGGGAAGTTCCAGCATTTTTATACACGTTCTTCAGTGCCTGGCCCGCCCACTACTGGCCTACGGCTGAATCGCAGGCACTCAGACAAAAACCTGTCCTTATGTTTGATTAACGTTTTTTTATGTGTTGTAAAAATGTTTCGAGCATGTATCTAAACTGTTTTAATTAAGATATAATAATAGTTAAACAATGGATTATAACAGTCAATACTTAAAAAGGAAAACTAAGAAAATGGTGTAGTGCTTTTGAAATCAGTAACTGAACTGACTGATAAATTTCTTCACACTTATATTTTGCATCTGGGTTGAGATAAACTATAATCAAAGTTTATTGAAGCTTGGGTGTGCATTCTTTTGCATTACTGGAGAATTTTAAATGTTGAATATTTTTTTCTTCGTGAAGTATGTCCAAATGATAGAACTCCAAAAAGAAGTGAGTTTTCTTGTGTTCTGTGTAATTGAGCTTCATTTTTTGTCTTGCAGTTTTTGCACTTTTTTAAATGTTTTGTGGCATACCACTACCAAAAACACAGCACACTATTTGTCCTGATGCATCTCAGTAATCCAGGTAAAAAATCAAAGGAAAAAAAATTGTATAGGTCTTCTGGACGGGTTCTTCTCTAATGAAACGTTTCGTCTCTCTTCCAAGAGACTTCTTCAGTCTGAGAGTTTCAGGCAAAATTCAGGCTTTTGAGTCCTGGAGGTCAGTCACATGGAGGCAGGACTCAAAAGCCTGAATTTTGCCTGAAACTCTCAGACTGAAGAAGTCTCTTGGATGAGAGACGAAACGTTTCATTAGAGAAGAACCCGTCCAGAAGACCTATACAATTTTTTTTCTTTTTTTCCCAAATGCTATTTCAAAGCTAATGTTAGCACTAGGGGTGTCCCGATACCGATATCGGTATCGGG